TGTTTGGGCAGCTTCATAAGGAAGGAGCAGTGATCAGTCTTTGCTGGATTGTTGCCTTGAAAGCGGTAAATGAAGCGATGCTCCTGCTCCTATTTTATTTGGGTTAATTGTGAAGATACGTTAACTGGTCTGTCCCTGTGCACAGCATTTAGAAATTGTGAGATATCGAGTGGTGAGCTGACTCTGGTGTGACAAAGTTACTTTGTCTGCATCTAAAAGGAAGCTTTGTGGAGACTGGACCTTCCAACTGCTAAGATATTTTTTGAACTGTGTTTTTTTCTGTTGACTGTGAATAAATGCACTGTATTCAGCCGTGGGCGTGAGTCCTGCCTCTAAACATCTCAAATCTTTGAGCCCTAAAAATAATAAATACTTTAAAAGAAGAAAGAAAATCATGGACTCTTATGCTTGACACTAAGCAAAAGCCACGAGTAGCCATAAAGTAACTGTAGAAAACATGTAGACTTATGGAAATGATTTATTAGAAATTTTATTGGAAAATTTCATTACTGGCTATTGGAACGACCACATATTGTTGGCTGAGTTATTTGCCAGAAAATAAAATTAAAAAACAATTTTAAGAAAGCTGCAGAAACACTTGGATTGGATTTATATGGCGCTTTTCAAGGCACCCAAAGCACTTTACAATGCCACTATTCATTCAGACACTGGTGGGGGCAAGCTACGGTTGTAGCCACAACTGCCCTGGGGCAGACTGACAGAAGCGAGGCTGCCATATTGCGCCATCGGCCCCTCTGGGTAGGCGGTAGGGTAAAGTGTCTTGCCCAAGGACACAACGACCAGAACAGAGAGCACGGCGACCTTCCGGTTACAGATACGCTTCCCAACCCCCTGAGCCACGGTCGCACTCTTTTAGGGCAGAGTTAAACAAATCCAGATATATTTTAAAAACTCATGTCTTTCATTGTTAAAAACAGTCTAATGCAGCCTCTTCATTAACATTAGTACTATTATACTATTAGAAGGTCTACTGTGGTCCTCGTGCCACTGTGGTCATTAGAAATCGAACCATTCATTCTCACTATGTGAGGATGGCCTGGCTGACTTCAGCCAAGTAAACTGATTAAACTTTCATTGCCTGTGGACAAAGTTAAAACTGATCAGTTCTGGATTTTCAATTTCATCATATTTTAAGCCTGTATAGCAAAGCAGTGGGATCCTGAAGGAAAGCTGGAAGGTTGTGCCTTTTAACATAGACAATGAAGGACAAAGCAACAGCCGACAGAAGCAGAGGCCACTTATATGATCTCCTGGGTTTGGGCTCATCGCATCGCCTGGTCTGCAGGGGTTGAATCACTCTCTCCCACTGAGTGAGGATTGCCTGGCGGGCTCCAGCCCACTTTCCTGGCCCCCTGAGACGATACTGGTACGGCGTGCAGGGACCAAAGAGCACATTCATTCCCAGCCTGGGGTCAGTCAGCAGCATCCTTGGGATGTTGGGTTGAACTCCCACTAGCTCTGCTATTTCATCCATGTAG